ATCCTCTCCAAATATGGTGTTAGCCAGGCTGCTTTTCCCAGCTCCTGTTTTTCCCAAGATGACAATTCTTCTGTGTGTCTCTGTAACTGTCTGTGACACTGAAAGAGAATAATGTTCATCATTAATATTGTACATTTGTCTTTTGCTTGTTTTCATATATAAGATACACTTTATAAGCTGTATTGCAATAAAAGTCCTCAGTGGTCAAAAATCCCAATGAAAAGGGAAATCAGTTATAAAATAGCTGCATTAGCAGATTACAGCAAGAGCATAAAGAATGGTGTCAATACATAAAAAAGGCCAATGATGAAAATATTAAAGATGAAGAACATCTTATGTGTCTAATCTCTTCTAACAGTATCAATCACTGTTCAACAATATTCTGTAAATTAATCTATTGTGGTAAAGAACACCAAGGATCATTTTGTAAACAGATTAGTAGTGATAATCATGTTTTTTGGCCCTTATTTGACCCTGTTGATTGATTATCTGATACAGTGTTTAATCCAATAGGCCTACTTGTGCTATATTTACCTGTGTGTTGAATTAATGTCTAGGCTACCTGACTGACAGATCCACAGACTGAACAGCTACCTTATTTTTCACAAGCTTCTTTATCCAAATACTGGTAGTCCGAAACAGTTAAACTGATTAGCTCAAATGATTGATTATGATATTAAGAGAAGTTTAACTGGAAGAACACAACCCCTAAAACTGATGTGACAAGACTCAGCAGGAGAAAAGATGTCTCACTCTGTCAGTCAATCAGTCCACTCTGGGCTACAGTGTTACAGTGTTGTCTCTTTCACCACATTAATCTAGTAGCCTACAGCAGGCCTTCCAACAGAGAGCAAACCCGGAAACAACCAAGTTTATGACCTGCCAATAACAAAACTATAAAAAAACTTTAATGGGTAAAAGCAACGATCAGCGCCAATTAAAAATGTGAAAGCTAATGTTGAAAGAAGAAGAACAAGTTGAGAGAAAAAATATCAGATTTGCTGTTGATATCAGATACTGATAAAAAAATCAAACAAATCAAAGACAAAAATAACTGAAATCAGTTAACTTACCCTTAGCGCCCATGTTATCAAAGGTGAAGTCTAGCTGTGGAGCGAAGATGACTCCAAGTGAAGACTGCCTGTGTGTATGTGAATATGTTTCCTGTAAATTGGACATACTTTCATTTCCTGACTTGATGCAAAAAAGGGTCAGCACACCTTAGGCCTACCTGTCTGCTGTCTCCACCCAAATCTTTGTTCAACTTGTCTGATAACAGGATACAGGCTACAATACAAACTGTTAATTCACGCCTTCATTTTCTCCCGTCTAGATTACTGTAATTCCCTCTCTACATAATATATATATACATACATACATACATGTGTGTTTATATTTATTTGTTTGTTTGTGAAGCACTATGTAACTGTGTTTTAAAAAGCACTTTAGAAATAAAGCTTTACTTACTTGCTTACTTACTTACAATGATTTATTTTGTTTTTCGATATGTCTCTTTTATTGTTGGAGGCTTGTCTGCCCCTAATGCATCTCTACAAAAACATTGTTATTGGCGACAGACAGACAGACAGAAATGCACTTTGTTTTTGTCACACCATTGTGTAAAATCCCACATTTAGATCATTCATGTTATACTTGTGTTGCACATTTAGCACAGGTCAATTCAGATTAGAGGTTAAACACTGTCACTGCAGATATCTGGCCATATATAAACATGTAGACATACTGTAAGTGAGTTTTTGTTGTGCTTGCCTTGTATGAACAGGACATCTCAATTCAGCTTTTTACAATTAGACACCTAAAGGGAAGATTTATTTTGTCCAAAATTCAACATCAGCTGCACATTTCTGTGAAGCCAGTTAAGCTTTTATCCGTTTTATTCCTGTTCTTCATTGCTCAATGTGTCTTCGTCCCTTTTCTTCTCAGGCAGTGACAAACACTAATATGGCAGTATAGGCCAGGTCAGCGAGGTAAAGCAGGAAGTTGAGGGCAGTGATCACCGCCACAGTGATCAGTTTCGATGATGGCCTGTTGACAGTTTGCTAGTATACATACTGTGCATGCCTGAGAGTTAGTTCTTAATATAAACAAAACTGGGTGCTACTATATATCACTTCTTTAAACTAATATGAATTATTAGACACACTGTTATATACTTTTATTTCCTCCTAACTGTTTACTGTATTTTGCTACATGCTATATCACACACAGGCCCCAACTTCAGGAGT